TTCTTTCTTCATGTGTTCACTGAAGTAGACGTGTACTTTCCTTCCAGAACCTTTTCTTTGCATTTATAACAAGGCTACTGGTGCAAGAGACCTAGCTTTTGGCCTCTCTCAGCTTTCAACATGCCCTCCTCACTAAGTTTAATCGCTTCTAGCTTTTGATTTAAAGGGAGACACATGTGACTCTTCCCTTCATTTGAACATTCAGAGGCCATTCCAGGGATATTAGCTGGTCTGATTTCAATTCCGTTGTATCTCAAGGAACAGTGAAGCCTATTGAGAGGGCCTAACGAGAGGGAGAGTGACAGGGTATGGCCGGTCAGTGGAGCAGTCAGATACACACAGCATTTATTAAGTTTGCCACCTTCTACGGGTGCAGTTCATGGCACTCCAAAGCAAATACAATAGTAATATCCAAGATCATTAGTCACAGATCACCATAACAAATATAATAATGAAAAAGCTGGAAATATTGTGAGATTATGAAAAATGTGACACAGAGACTGAAGTGGATGCTGTTGGAAAAAATGGCACCAACAGACCTGCTCAACTCAGGATCGCCACAGACCTTCAATTACTAAAGAATGCAGTAGCTACAAAGCGCACTCAAACAAGATACACCTGTAAAGTAAAATTTGAAAGCTGCATATAAAACAACTTGAATGACTTCTTTATTCAATTAAAAGTTCGGAGATTGCTTCTAAACATCTAGACATTTTACTTCATTAAAACAACAGCTTGTTTTTGTTACTACTAAGAAACACTGTCATTTTTTAAACATTTGCAATCACATCACCTCCCAGGAACCACAAAAATTAATTATAATAACAACCTGTCAATCACCAAATGTTTTCATCTATAAAATGAGAGAGCTGTGTTAGCTAATCTCTTCAGTACCTTCAAACTCTCTAATTATGTGAATCTATTATTTAACTCAAGAGACATAGAATTAAGCAGGGATTCCCCCTTTGCAGTAAGCTTGAGAACTGTGGGGATGACAAAGACCGTTTGGCAGGGATCTGCATTGCTTGCTGTCGGAGCCCCACAAGAAGCTCCAGATGGTGAGCCACAATGCACAGAAGGATGAAGAGGAATCATCCCCACCTCTCTCTCTTTGCAAAAAGTCATGTCACTCTCCTCCATTTTCATCTCCTACTCTTATCCCTGAAACAGGGGTACTGCTCTCACCAGAGGGAAACTAGAGATAAGAAATTCAGCAGACGCTGAAATACAGATAGGTAGGTAGGTAGACAGGAAATTATATATAAATTTCACAGTGTTCTCTATACCCATTTACAAAAGCCTTGCTTTTTATAAATGTTGTAGCAACAAATAGAACTTTGTAAAATCAAGGAATGATAGATAACACATAGCAATGTTTCAGCTGTGCCATCCTAACCTCATCAATACTTTGAAAACATGAGATTTTGACACTGGACCAAAGTGCATCTGGCAGACATCTTAAATTTATTCTTCTGCATAGCCAACTAACAAGCCAGCTTGGCTGCTGACATAAGTCCAAAGGAAAGATAAGGTCATAAAGTATTTGCCTGGCTTACCGACAGAACAACAAAATAATTTTTCTTCATATAATTTGTTCCTGTTATGAAGTTATAGATTCAGAATACTAAATATCTGGGAATGTTCAGCTCACATTATAATCACATCCTCTCCTTTGACGAGCACAAGGCTGCAGAATTCAATGTTCACTTCTTGCCTCACACACCTAAATGAGTACTCCTTCCAGCCTCGTGACAGGCAGAGTGGGCAGACCTCTCCCTCCGTGTGCCTCTCTTCACTCGGTGTGGGCATAAGGCACAACCAAGCGCCCTTTTCTTTTTGTATGAATCTTCAACAACTACCTTCTTAGACACAACACTATCTGGCCCTAGGATTAAATTAGTAAAGAGAGAAAGGAGGTGGACTAGTGGTCCTTTCCCCTCCCTTTCACAAGCTACTTTGCAGGACAAAGAACAGAGGGGAAGTGTTCCAATATTACTGGGGAAAATGTACTTCAGGATTCTCTCCCTCCCTGGCTGGCAAGGCTGGGCAGAGATCCAAATACTAATTTGAAGGGAAAGCTTTGGGGAGGCCATGGGAGAAACAGTCCCCCAAATGCTGGCTGTAATAAGTACATGTAAGACTCTCAAATAACCTGGAGTCAGCCAAAGGCTCAAGTGTTTTCATCACTCCAGGGAGGAAAGATGTCAGGACTTGTCTTGACTTGCAGGAATGCAGGCTATATAAGATTCTGCCTATTCTGCAAGCAAACAAAGTCCTCTAGTGCAGCTCCTTCCAGCAAGGCCGCTTCACTGAAGAGTGGCCTCTTACACAGCTTTGAGCTTGGCCCATCTTGACTGTCCTTTGCTTCAACCCTATTCTCCGAGGACAGTATTACTTCAACTGATTACCCTCCTGCCACACTCACTCTATCCTAAAGCCACTTCTAAATCTCTCTCATAGGGGAAAGCTTTCACTTCAGATCACCATTCCAAGTTCCAACAACACCAGGCTGTTTTATAGCTACTCGGAGAGGCTCCATAACCTGCCCTACGGGATGCAAGCCAGAGGCTAAAGAGAGAGGATTACTGCTGTTCAGCGGGAGAGTAAAGTGCTCTGGAAACTGCTTCCTAAGCAAGCCAAAAAGGGGGCCAATGGAAAGCCCCAAGACTCAGGGAAAAGCCTAGTGATGCAGGTCAAGGTTAGACTCAGAGCAACCCCAGACAAGCATTTAACCACTCAAGAAAATGAATAATATTAAGAAGGATTTGGCAAGAATCTAGAGAAGTGAAGAAAGAGAGGAAGGCCAGAGATAAAAAACATGATCATTTTTCCTTTAAAGACTAAAATTAGATGATTTTGTTTCAACTTAAAAAGAAAAAATTCTTCTATCTCTATCTGAAGAAGTAGACCACTAGAGATTCTTTTCCCTTCAAACTGTAGTTCTTGAAACACAGCCTTTTTCTCAGTTACATCAAGTGCCAAAAATATAACTATAATACTTTCTGCGGGAGTACATTTTGAAAGTTGCATATGGGAAAACAATGTGTGGATATGTTCTTCCCCAGTTTAGAGCTTTCCATGTGATATATTACTGCAGAATGGGTGGACTGAAAGGGAGTGGGGGTGAAGGAGGACTTTCTGAACTCCCCCAGAAACAGATAAAGGCTAAATGGATTTCTAACCTGTCATCAGTCCTAGAAACACCCAGCCACACAGGTAGTTGTCAGTTACCAACGTGCCCTTAAGACAAGGACATGGATCCACTGGAAAAGGGATTCACTCCTTGTTTGAGTGGTCCAGTCATCGTGTTTACTGAGCACCTACTCTGGGAAAAGTTCAGTGCTAAGTGGTAGGTTATGAGGGAGACAAGGAAAGTCATGATAAAAGTGACAGGGAGTATCGTCAATGTTCTCAGGCATGTTAAATCAAGATAAGAGGACTACTTAATGCAGACTGAAAAATGTTAAGTGTCACGAGAGTGGCCACACAGAGATTCACTAAATTCTGATGTCCCACGTTCCTGATATTACCACTTATTTGAGATGTCAGATTTTCCCCTAATCCTGACCTTATTTTGGATCTTTGTATGCATGCTCCTTCACCTGAAAGATTCAGCTTGTTGTCTTTGACCTTGAACTACACACCTATTCCGACCATTCTGAGTTGGCGTCACCAGTCTCCCTGCAGCACTTGCCACTCCACATGGGACCCCCTTCTGTGGCATGTGAACTGACACCACCTTGTAAACAAACTTTATCAAGCAGCACAGCAGGACACGTGGTGTGAAGCCGTTCCCAGCATCGAGCCTGCCTGGGTATCTTTCAGTCACACATTATGCAGAAGTGAAAGAGTGGCTTCCTTGCATAATTAGGAGACAGTGGCTCAAGTTAGATATGATCCTGTCCCACAGGGATAGTGCGCTGTACTGAGTGTTAAGTGCACACACTGAATAGCAGCCTGGGGAGGATAAACCAAATCCCGCTAACCTATGCTCTCTCCTGAATGGGGAGAGGCCCTAACTGGGGAGAAGTTTTCTATCAGGTGAAAGACAAGGACTAAAGCAAACAGTCTCTTCCCACCACATCAACTTCACCAGCTGCCTCAGGGTAACATTTACATGAGTGAAAATGAACTGTATCCATTCCATTCTCATAATTTCTATTATGAACCTCACAATGGCACTTTTCATCAGTGTTTAACATCTCTAAATTAATCCTAGAGGATCTGGAATGAGAGATAATAAATTAACTCTTAAGATCAATTTCTAGGACTATGGGCCTAACCAGGGGTAGATGAGCATTTGGCCCCTTCAGGGAAATCTGGCCATGCCTGCAGACATTTCTGGTTGTCAGGACTGGGCAGGGTTGAGGTTGGGGGTGTGCTACCAGCATCCAGTGGGTGGAGGCATGGGCACTGCTAAATATCCTAGAGTGCACAGGACCCCCACAACCCAACAAAGCCTAAAGTGTCAGCACTGCTGAGTTAGAAATTCTTCCCCAAAGGAAAGAACCCTGAATCAGGAGTAAGAAGACCAGGGTTTTAGGCAAGCTTATACTATTTATTAGTAACATGATATTAGGCAAGTACCTTAAGCTCTTCACAATTCAACGTTTTCATCTTTAACACAGGAGTATTAATTTCTGCTCTACTCATTGCTCAGGGTTGTTTGTAACTATCAAGTGAAAAAGTGCATGTAGTATACAAAGATAAGGTGGTACTTAACTATTTAGCACCACAACTTCTTCAACATGAAAATTCTCAGACTACTCTTTGTACAGTCATAAATTGAATCTACAAATATTTACACAGACCTATGAAGTAGGACAGGTCTCATCTTATCTAACACACCCCAGTGCCCATGGAAAGTCAAAGGCACTGCAGGTCCTCCACAGCCCAGACAAGGGAAGCAAGCTTCTCTTGCCGACACACATTTGGCTTTCAGCTTTTCCTTGCCAGCAAGGTGCTGATACAAAGCCAAGCACGGGTCCGGAAACACTCACCGCGTGGATGTTCTTTCCGTGATGGCAAGACCCATGAGTCCTCGGCACACACTCAGGGCAGCACTGGTTGGCACCTATCCGAAGCACTTCTCCCTGCGCATTTACAAACACTCCATGTAAAACAGCAGCAGCAAACTAGTCACAGCGGCTCATCGGACCCCGAGTCATCTCAGATTCACATTCACTGCATCTTGATTTCAAATTTCCTTGAAAAGTGTCTACATCTTCTCACATGTAACAAAGAATGCTATTCACTGGAAATGCTCCATCTGAGTGTCACACAAGAAAAGCACTCAGGCTGAGAGAAGAACTGTATCTCTCTAAAGGGGTGTTTGCCTCTGTTGAGAAGACTCTGGGGAGGTGTCCAGAGCTAGCAGGTCCCTAGCTGTCCCGTGGAGGTGGACGCTCAAGTTCTAATGTTTACTTTTACCTGGACACAGAGCAGCAAGCCACAGGGATGGACAGGTGACTGAAGGACAAGGCTGGGAGAGGAAAGTAGAATTCCTGGGCTCCAATAAAGATCACCTTGTCTCTCACAGTTTCTGTAATTGAAATTGTGTTTCCTATCGAGATGTGATACTATCAAGGGAATGGGATTTATTGGGAAGTTGTCATGTTAACTAAGCATCCTTTTGCCACTGTGAAGAGACCATTTATCTGAGTTATTAAAACTATGGAGCAAAGAACACACATTTGTCTTTGGAGCCCAGTGAATCTCCTTTAGATCCTCTGACTCATCTTGTGCCCCCACCATGTATCTTTGTGTCTCCTCAAGTCTAGAGATGTGGCAGAATGGCAACTGAATGATTTTGATCAAGAATGGTTTAAAAGAAACCCTGCAAGAGGCAGGAAATCATGGCTTGTCCACAGAATAAAAGTCAATGAGTCAATGAAGAACTTAACCAGTAGAATTTTTTAAAAAAATGTGTGTGTAGGGGTGTGTGTTCATATGTGTGTGTGTATGTGTGTGTGTGTGTTTATGTGTGTGTATTAATGTTTCTTTGATATTTTGGGCTGCTTCCAATAAAAAAAATTGTACCTACAAGAAAATTCAAATTTAAAATAACTACTTTCACAAGAGTAGGTGAGAAATGAGACCAAGATTTTCAACGGTTAATCCACCAAACTCATAAATACATTGGTAACAGTGACCATCAAATTCTCTCTATTTGCCTAATAAAAGATAAAACATGACATAGAATTTTTATAAAACTGTACATATTATTCAACATTAATGACTTTTCAGAAAATTGCCCTCCAAACCCTGAGAGGAAACTATACTTGTCTAATTTCCACTGAGACAGTGACATGTAGGAAATGTGTTAGCCTAATTTGCACTAAGAATTTCAAACAGATAGAAAATTAGATAATCCAAGTGTTGTATATATCCTAACATGCAAAAGAGGGAGCAAGGGAGTAAGGCAGGTAAAAAGAAAGATTTCAAAGGATATTTTATGCCCCCAAATTAGCTTTCTTTGTTTTATGTAAAAACTGATTTTAAGATTTGTCCTCAAAACTCATTTCATAAATATTTTTTATTTGCAAGTGGTAGTGGAGGAGTCCCCCCCTTGAGACTACCTATTGAACTGGTGGAGCATGAAAGGTTATTTGGGACTAAAGGAAGAGCAAAGAATGTTGCATGTGGGCACTTAGAGAAGGAGAGGCAGGGAGTTCCTGGGACCTTACCATGTGACCGTGTATAACCCTGCGAGCTGTGGGCTACTCGGAACACATACGCCTATTGTCCCCACAAGATTTGCACTGGGGAAGTTGGGAAGTGACCGCATGGGCACGAGGCATCATGGAGATCACTCGGGGAGCTGGGCAAGATGACCTGCCTAGGATCTAAACAGACCAACTAACAATAATTCTGATGACCATTTGATAATTATGGCTAACAGTTACTGAGTACTTAGGATAGCCAAGTACTCTTCTAAGCAAATGTGTGTATATGTTTGTATATATAATTTAATTCTCACAAGAACTTGATTAGCTAAATATTATTATTATCTGCATTGAGGTTTGCAGCCCAAACCCAACCATGTAACACAGCGTTCCTTTTGCATGGCATTGTTCTCTGTGCACATATATCCTTCAGAAATTCTGAAGAAAGGATGGGTTTTTACAGGACTGGGTTAAAGAGTCAAGCTTCTAAATGCTCTGTTCTCTTTCTTCTTAATCTTTCTCTCTCTCTCTCTGTCCCAATTTAACTAGCTAGTTAGCTATTCTATACGGATATAGATGTAGAATATTTTATATATGATTACAGGATGAAAAGAAAGAAGTATCGATCAGAGTTGCCACTGACACTGGGTTGGTCATTTCCAGTCCACTCCTGAGCAAAGCAGACTCCCTGATCCCAACTCCCATCACGTCGTGTCCTTCAGAGAGGTCCTTGAGCACTTTTCTCCCTGCCGTCACCAGCCAGCTGCTGGCCATGCTTTCCGGTTCCTGCTGAGGCCTCGACACCCAGTGCTCCCACCAGGATCTCCACTCTTCTTCCCCATTAATATGCCAGAATCCCAGGCTTGGGTCTAGCCCACGGTTTGCCTTCTCCTCTCCTACGACTGGCTAGTAGGTGCTGCTGAGAAAATCATCTATTATGCAGCGTGGCACCCACACAGGCTCACAATGTCCTGCTCCCATGGGCCCTTAAGACCGCCCACAAATGCTTCACCTCAACCTCAGTCAGTCCCTTCCTCCCCTCAGTGACAGCTCCTTTCAACTCAACCTCACAATTTTCACAAAGTAAGCTCATTAGGTATAAATTACTTCATGACCCTGCCCCCTTTCTTACTCACAAATTTAACTATTTCTGTATCCACCTGTGGCTCTTTCCACTTTTAGAGAAAGAGATGCCCATGGAAAGTCAAAGGCACTGCAGGTCCTCCACAGCCCAGACAAGGGAAGCAAGCTTCTCTTGCCGACACACATTTGGCTTTCAGCTTTTCCTTGCCAGCAAGGTGCTGATACAAAGCCAAGCACGGGTCCGGAAACACTCACCGCGTGGATGTTCTTTCCGTGACGGCAAGACCCATGAGTCCTCGGCACACACTCAGGGCAGCACTGGTTGGCACCTATCCGAAGCACTTCTCCCTGCGCATTTACAAACACTCCATGTAAAACAGCAGCAGCAAACTAGTCACAGCGGCTCATCGGACCCCGAGTCATCTCAGATTCACATTCACTGCATCTTGATTTCAAATTTCCTTGAAAAGTGTCTACATCTTCTCACATGTAACAAAGAATGCTATTCACTGGAAATGCTCCATCTGAGTGTCACACAAGAAAAGCACTCAGGCTGAGAGAAGAACTGTATCTCTCTAAAGGGGTGTTTGCCTCTGTTGAGAAGACTCTGGGGAGGTGTCCAGAGCTAGCAGGTCCCTAGCTGTCCCGTGGAGGTGGACGCTCAAGTTCTAATGTTTACTTTTACCTGGACACAGAGCAGCAAGCCACAGGGATGGACAGGTGACTGAAGGACAAGGCTGGGAGAGGAAAGTAGAATTCCTGGGCTCCAATAAAGATCACCTTGTCTCTCACAGTTTCTGTAATTGAAATTGTGTTTCCTATCGAGATGTGATACTATCAAGGGAATGGGATTTATTGGGAAGTTGTCATGTTAACTAAGCATCCTTTTGCCACTGTGAAGAGACCATTTATCTGAGTTATTAAAACTATGGAGCAAAGAACACACATTTGTCTTTGGAGCCCAGTGAATCTCCTTTAGATCCTCTGACTCATCTTGTGCCCCCACCATGTATCTTTGTGTCTCCTCAAGTCTAGAGATGTGGCAGAATGGCAACTGAATGATTTTGATCAAGAATGGTTTAAAAGAAACCCTGCAAGAGGCAGGAAATCATGGCTTGTCCACAGAATAAAAGTCAATGAGTCAATGAAGAACTTAACCAGTAGAATTTTTTTAAAAAATGTGTGTGTAGGGGTGTGTGTTCATATGTGTGTGTGTATGTGTGTGTGTGTGTTTATGTGTGTGTATTAATGTTTCTTTGATATTTTGGGCTGCTTCCAATAAAAAAAATTGTACCTACAAGAAAATTCAAATTTAAAATAACTACCTTCACAAGAGTAGGTGAGAAATGAGACCAAGATTTTCAACTGTTAATCCACCAAACACATAAATACATTGGTAACAGTGACCATCAAATTCTCTCTATTTGCCTAATAAAAGATAAAACATGACATAGAATTTTTATAAAACTGTACATATTATTCAACATTAATGACTTTTCAGAAAATTGCCCTCCAAACCCTGAGAGGAAACTACACTTGTCTAATTTCCACTGAGACAGTGACATGTAGGAAATGTGTTAGCCTAATTTGCACTAAGAATTTCAAACAGATAGAAAATTAGATAATCCAAGTGTTGTATATATCCTAACATGCAAAAGAGGGAGCAAGGGAGTAAGGCAGGTAAAAAGAAAGATTTCAAAGGATATTTTATGCCCCCAAATTAGCTTTCTTTGTTTTATGTAAAAACTGATTTTAAGATTTGTCCTCAAAACTCATTTCATAAATATTTTTTATTTGCAAGTGGTAGTGGAGGAGTCCCCCCCTTGAGACTACCTATTGAACTGGTGGAGCATGAAAGGTTATTTGGGACTAAAGGAAGAGCAAAGAATGTTGCATGTGGGCACTTAGAGAAGGAGAGGCAGGGAGTTCCTGGGACCTTACCATGTGACCGTGTGTAACCCTGCGAGCTGTGGGCTACTCGGAACACATACGCCTATTGTCCCCACAAGATTTGCACTGGGGAAGTTGGGAAGTGACCGCATGGGCACGAGGCATCATGGAGATCACTCGGGGAGCTGGGCAAGATGACCTGCCTAGGATCTAAACAGACCAACTAACAATAATTCTGATGACCATTTGATAATTATGGCTAACAGTTACTGAGTACTTAGGATAGCCAAGTACTCTTCTAAGCAAATGTGTGTATATGTTTGTATATATAATTTAATTCTCACAAGAACTTGATTAGCTAAATATTATTATTATCTGCATTGAGGTTTGCAGCCCAAACCCAACCATGTAACACAGCGTTCCTTTTGCATGGCATTGTTCTCTGTGCACATATATCCTCCAGAAATTCTGAAGAAAGGATGGGTTTTTACAGGACTGGGTTAAAGAGTCAAGCTTCTAAATGCTCTGTTCTCTTTCTTCTTAATCTTTCTCTCTCTCTCTCTGTCCCAATTTAACTAGCTAGTTAGCTATTCTATACGGATATAGATGTAGAATATTTTATATATGATTACAGGATGAAAAGAAAGAAGTATCGATCAGAGTTGCCACTGACACTGGGTTGGTCATTTCCAGTCCACTCCTGAGCAAAGCAGACTCCCTGATCCCAACTCCCATCACGTCGTGTCCTTCAGAGAGGTCCTTGAGCACTTTTCTCCCTGCCGTCACCAGCCAGCTGCTGGCCATGCTTTCCGGTTCCTGCTGAGGCCTCGACACCCAGTGCTCCCACCAGGATCTCCACTCTTCTTCCCCATTAATATGCCAGAATCCCAGGCTTGGGTCTAGCCCACGGTTTGCCTTCTCCTCTCCTACGACTGGCTAGTAGGTGCTGCTGAGAAAATCATCTATTATGCAGCGTGGCACCCACACAGGCTCACAATGTCCTGCTCCCATGGGCCCTTAAGACCGCCCACAAATGCTTCACCTCAACCTCAGTCAGTCCCTTCCTCCCCTCAGTGACAGCTCCTTTCAACTCAACCTCACAATTTTCACAAAGTAAGCTCATTAGGTATAAATTACTTCATGACCCTGCCCCCTTTCTTACTCACAAATTTAACTATTTCTGTATCCACCTGTGGCTCTTTCCACTTTTAGAGAAAGAGATGTCCTCCCCACCCCACACTGTGGAGCCCATACACTCTGTTCTCCAAACCCCACTCCTCATTGTTCTCTCTGTCTCCCCTCCCCCACCCATCTCCTGTATCTTCACCTTTCCCCTCTAGGTCATTCCCCTTTCCTCCCTAAGGTTATCATGTCTCTTTCGTGCTAGCATCAAAACCAGAAACCAAAACAAAACCTTCTCCCCTTCCTCATTCAGTCATTCTGTAAATACTGACTGAACGTCCTCTGTGCACACACTATGCCATTTGATGGGCTGCTACAGTGAAGACAAGGTCCCTGCTCTCAAGAGGCTGAGTCTGCAGGAAGAAGCAGACAAGGAAACAGTTGTTTTCAGTCTGGTCAAGAGCTATAACAAGGGCAAGCACAAAGCTGCGTGGCAGCACACACAAGGGCCCGATGGTTGGGGATGGGAGGGTCAAAGAGACTTCACAGAGTGCTGGTGTCCAGCCAGTGTCCTATTTCCCCTGCCATTCTCACGGAAGCTCCCTGAACAGCCTTCACTGGCTTCCTTTTCTCACTTCCCATTAATTTCTCAGAGTCCTCAAATTTTCATTAATTCCCCGGGGCCCACAGGTTGCAAATCCAATGGATCATATTAAATTCCTCACCCACTTACTCCTTTACCTGTGATCAACATTGTTGATACAAACCCCTAGTGGAGACTCTACTCTCCTGCTGCCATGGTACTGCTCACTTCTCTGACCATTTCTTACCTCTTACCTCTCTTAATCTTTGCAAGTTCCCTCTCTATAAATGTTCACCTTCCCAATAGCGACTGCATTCCCCAGATTCCACTGATCTTGTACTCTTCACAAAATCTCTTTGGATAAGCTCAATAATTCTAAAGACTTACACTATGGGCTATATGCTAACGATACATTATATTTGCAATCTTACCTTCTCTAAGCTTTATACTCATATATCCTGCTGCCTTTTTTGGCATATCCACCTGGCTTTCCATGGACACTTCGAAGTCAATGTTTCCCAAAGTGAAATCATCATTTTCCTTCCTGATGGGATGTTCTTCCTCATACCCTATATTCTCAATATCAGTTAGTGGCTCAGCTAACCAACTAGGCATCAAGTCAGCAATATGGGAGTCACCTCTCCTTCCCTTTCCCCTCCTAACTTCACCCAGTTCTGCTGATTTATCCACTGTGTGTTTCTGGAGCCTGCCCTTCCCTCTTCATCCCTGTACTACCACTGCTCTGCTTTAGGCCCTCATCCTCTCATCTGGACTATTTTCACAGCCTCTGAACTATTCCCCTTATTTCTAATAATATGCATTATCTTTGTAAAGCCAGAGTGATCTTCCTAAAGGAAAAGCTGGTCATTCTACCCATATGCTGGAAACCTGCATTAGTAGTCTATCATTTCAAAATTAAAATTCCCAGCTCCACAGTACAGCACACCAGGCTTTCCATGACCTTGATTTTACCAACTTTCTAGCTCCTCTGCTATCCATTCATTCAGTCAGTCCAAAAGTAGTTACTGAGGGCCTACCATGCATCACGCGCTATTGTAGGTGCTGAGGATATACAGTGAATAAAAGAGATAGTTGACAAAATTTTCAGTAAAATATATTGTATGTCAGACAATAGCATCAGGAAGAAAAATAAAGCATGGAAGAAAGATAGGAAATGTGTGTGACAGGGTGTGGAGATTTGTAATTTTAAATAGAATGGCATTTGGGCAAGACTTAAAGGAACTAAGAAATCAAGCCATACATACAAATCTGTATCTGGAAAAAAAACCCATTTTAATGGTAACAGCAGAGTGCAAAGGCCCTACTGGCAGAAGTGTGCCTGGCATATCCAAGGAAGAGCAAGCAGGCTTGGTGTCTGGAGCAGAGTGAGCAAGACAGAGAAAGCAGGTTAATTAGAAAGGTACAGTAGTACTTTGCAGGGCATTGTGAGGACTCTGAAGTGAGAAGCCACTGGAAACCACTGGAAGGGCTTATGGAGAGGAGCAACATGATCTGACTTAAATTCTGATAGGATACCCCTAGGTGCTATATCAAGATTACAGTGAAAAAGGCAAGTACAGAAACAGTCAAAGAAGTTAGCGTGCACTGTGAGAACGCAGGCAGAAATGTAACTGGAGGGACCAGAGCAGAGCAGGGAGGCTGCAGCTGGAATGAACCATTTCACGAAGGAAGAGCTGGGGGATTGCTAATGTACTGCTTATGGGGTGTGGGAGAAAGCGGGGAGTCGAGGATGACGCTGTTTTCTGGCCCAAGCAACTAAAGATGGGAAGCTGCCATTTACTGAGATGAGAAACATTAGAAGAACAAATGACAGACAACATCATGTCTGGTATAGAACAAGGGTCAGGAACTTTTGCTGTAAAGGGCCAAATAGTAAATATTTTAGCCTTCGAGGGCCACCTAGGGTCTGCATCACAACTACAGAACTACACAACACTGCCACTATAGTGCAAAACAGGCATGGACAGGCATAAGCAAATGAATATGCCTGTGTTTCAATAAAATTTCATGTATGGATGTCCACACAATTTTTCACATCATGAAATAATGTTCTCTGTTTTCTTCAGCTATTTAAAAATGTGAAAACCACTCTTTGTTCTTAGGTCATACAAAAACAAGCAGCACGCCGGATTTAGTATGCTGACCCCTGGTATAGAACTCATTTAGTTTTCAGCAGTACAATCTACACCTTCTAACATGTAATCCTTACATGATACCACATTTATTCATGTGAAGTGGAGGAGGGCATATCTTCATGGCTCTTACACAACCCACTCAGATTCTGACATGAATTAATCAGCAAGCTAAATAGAGATCTTTTAGGACTACTTACTCCATAAAATAGAAAGTCCCTAACGTACAACAGAATATTATCAAATTTACCAATATTTGATGTACACCCAGCTTCTCAGAAATACACCCATGAAGAAATTGAGGAATATACTGAAAGACATATAGAACCTTCACTCCAATGTTAGAAGCAAATAGAAACTTCTTAGTATTAGATGGCATAAAGACTCAGGATTAGTTATTACGGAAGAAGGAGAAAACTAGAAAAATAAACTATGCTTGTAAAATTGACAGAATGCTTTTTAAAGAAAATAATTGGTCTTCTCCAGGGAGTTTCAAATGCTCAAATTTGAATATTAAGCTTCTTTTATTTTCAATAGATTCACTTTAAAAAGAAAAGAGTCAGCATCTGAGAAAAAAAATTCTAACATAAGAGATGTGTAGTCAGAAAAAAATGGAAAATTTTTAACAAAGGGGAAAGGAGGAAATACTCGTCATATGCTTGGTCAACCACAAGGACATTTCTTCAATCAAAGCCTCTCTTATGTTCCCAAGGCAGCCAGTGCCAGCGCAATAATAAGTGGCAGAACAAATACTGCTTTTAGGAATTCATCTTCAAGAAGTCAACCCTAACTTTCAATGGCTTATAAATGTTGTGGTTAGTATCAGTAGCTTTGGCATCTGTCAGAGCTGGGGAAAATCTTTGGACAAAAGTTTATTAACTGCAGAATCATGGTTAAGCTGCTTAAAATGTCTAGGCCTCATTTTCCTCATCTGTATAAAGTGGTGATAAACGTACCTACCTCACATAATATTAAATGGGATAATACCTGAAAACCTTTAACTGAGTGTCTAGCCCAGAGTGACTTCTCAATAAACAGAAATTAACATGTTCTTAGATATGATATGTTAAAATTCTCTCCTGCATTTCATAAAGTTTCCAATTAGAGATTGGGATAAATGTTAAAAGCAAATGACTGAAAAGATGCAAAAACCCTATGCTTCACTCACTTTACCAATACATTCAGGATACAATTAAAATACCATACCTTTTCAAAGGCACACTGAGGGTTTCTGCAAACAGCAGGTTTGCAAATAACGATATTGCCATGGCAACGGCAGTTCTGGCATGAATCGGGCTTCCAAATTGTAGCATCCTGCAAAGAAGCATAAGATCTGGGTTAAAAACTGATCAGTCAAGGTATGAGCCCACCACAACAGCCTGTCAGCAACCCCACAGCCTGAGCAATTAAAAGGCACAGTAAAGCCCCAGCACACACATGCTTGCTGGGCACTGATTAAACCCCAAGAGGCAATAAAGGCACTATAATCCATTTCACCACAGTCATCCCACGTAGCCAAAAAGACAGGGGCATGCAGCACAGAGCTGTCAATACCCAGAGTAAGAACCATTGATTGACCTAAAACCACAGGAGGAGAAGCTGCTCCTTGATTTGAAGTTTCTCTGTGCTGTTAACTGGCAGAAGCATCAGGGCATGTTTAAAAGGGAACAACACTTGGACGAGCACTAACCAGCATTCTAAAAGCAGCATTTGCCACCAAATACTAATAGTGCCTCAGACTTCACTTTCCAGCTCTTTGGTACCACGTACTCTAATACTCATCAGAAACAAGCCTGAGTAAGCAAGCAGTGCAGTATTTTTAGGGCAGATCAACGAACACATTGGCTATTCTAAGTCCAGATGGACACTGGGCATTTTGGGGTACAAATGAAACATACATATGGGTTATGTATAAGGATGTCACAAATTATTATGGATCATGAACATGAAGGTATTAAACAGACATAAGTTGATGGCACTACATTATGTTCCAGCTGTAAAGGAAAGTAATGGTCATAAACAGAAAAGTGAAACTGGGCTCAGGGCAGAAAGGTCTTAGAAATTTATTTCCTATTTCCCAAATGCCATCATAATGAATCCATATTGAATCCTATCGTGTTCATTTTGAAGTAACTTTGAGCTCAACCATGGCATCAATCCCACAGAGACCAGTTTCTGTCCTTTGAAAGGCTCCCCTGATGACTTCAGCTTGAAGCAATAAACATCCCATAGCCTGTAATGAAGTCCCTTTTCCCAAAGATTTCCTAACCCAAATCCCTATTTTATATGGGTTGAAAACAGCCATACTGTTTGGATGATTTTTAAACACTAGAACTCTTTTAAGAGTATTGTCCTAGCTATTCTCTGGTTTAAAACCACTCCTTGCCTCATTTTTCCTTCTGATGGGATTAACTGCAGACCCCATAACTTGGCATTCACCTCTCTCCCTTGTCTTGGAAAATCTCATAGTCCTGAGACTTCCTTCCCTCCACTCAAGTGGTCAAGCCATTGGACAACCCGAGACTCCCTTACCTGGTCCACATGTCACCCTCCTCCTGGGATTCCCACTCCTCCCTGACACAGTTTGGAAACCAACATGCTTCTTTCAAGCCTCAACCTCAAGGATGAAACATTTCCTAACCCATTACTTTGCACTCCACATCCCCAAGGGGTGTGGATCTTCACCACTTCTCTGTGATCCACTGTTTCCTGCACACCCTGTCCCCTTTAATTGTGCTCATTTACATACCTGTAGCCCTTACTACACCAGATTGTAAGCAGTCTGCAACCCCCTTCACGCAGGCACTGTCTTGGCTGGCACACTGTAGATCCTTCACAAACCAAGTGTTCATAGTTCATAGGTAGCTTAGTGAAGACTTTTTCCTTCTTTCTAACATACCCATCATTTTTTCCTCAGTCAACCAATTAAAGCACTACTGAAATACTCTGGGGGTGGGAGGTGAAGTTTCTAAGCCCCAGACAGAGAATTCAGAACACTTGCATTCAACTTGAACTGAAATGAGCTGAGAAATTAGTGGATGCTAGTAAAAGACACATTCACACAACAAGGCAAAACTTAATGTGACTGTTAATGTTATAAAGGCAGCTCAGCAAGGCTATGGTGCCCAGCTGTTTGGCCAAACATCAGCCTACGTGTTGCAGCGACAACAGTTTGGCGATGTAATTAACATTTATAATCAGTTGATTAAGTAAAGGAGATTGCCCTGCATTCTATAGATGAGCCTATTTAATCAGTTGCAAGCCTTTAGAGCAAAAACTGAGGCTTTCTGGAGAGGAAGGAATTCATCTCAAGACTGTAACATAGGTATTCTGCTTGAGTTTCCAGGCCTCTGGCCAGCCCTACAAGCTTCAAGATTTCAGACTCAGGACTGCTTCAACTCTTGCCTGAATTTCCATCCTGCAGGTCTGCCCTACAGATTTGGGACTTGTCAGCCCCTACAACTGCATGAGCCAATTCCTTAAAATAAATCTCTTTTTATATATCTATATAAGGACACACATATGTCTCCTACTGATTCTGCTTCTCTGGAAGACCATGTCTCACATACCAATGCTGATACAGATTTACATGGATTTGCACAACATTCCCATGCAAAAATGAAGTTACCCTTTTGGTTAAGAAATGTTAAATGAATAATATCTTAGGGAATGGGCTTCAAACCCAAAGTAATTTAAGAAATATAAAATATATCTGAGGTGACTTTACATTCCCAGTGGCTAATCCACAAAAACCCGAGTCAACGCAAATCAGTACTAGAATCTGACTTGGAATTCCTCTGAATTTCTTTTCTTTTTTTATATCACGTCCCACTGAAATTGGCAAGAGTGTGCCAACTACATCATACTCTTAAGCCAAACAGCAATGACAAATAGATGAGTAAAAACAAATTTCATTTCCCAGCGTGATGTAATATATGCTTCCTGCTGATTTAAAAAAAAAATGGTATCAGTCTCAGTATGCAGATTAAATAAAAATAACAACTTCATAAAGCCAGCAGCTACCATTTATTGATCATTAGCTTATGCTGACTTATGCCTGACTCTTGGAGCAGGAAGTACTATAGAAGGAGGCATTTGTGGTACTGAAAGAGGATGATCTAATTGCTTTCCTTACCTCTGCCATCATCTTAGAGGGCTGGACCCACAGAGAGGGAAATAACTGTGTGTCAGTGCCATACAAAGTACTGACATGCATGACAACGCTGTGGGAGCTGGCACTATTATTATTATGACTATTCCCATTCTCCAGATGAAGAAACAAGATACAAGTGACTGAGCAATTTTCTCAAGTTCATAAAGCTTTATGTGACCTAAATACTCAGGACTTGGAGCCAGCCTGCCAGGGCTTGAATCCTGGTTGTCACCATTACCAAGTTAAGGTGTCTGTGTCCTAGGATCCTCATCTGTAAAGTAGGGATGATAGACTTAACTTTCAGGGTTATTGAAAGGAACAAATGAGATAATGTATTTAAAGAGATTTGAATAGTGTCTAGAACTTACAAGGGGCCTATTTAATGTAATTTGCTGTTTATCAAAATATTTTCTACACTGTCACAGGTATTTAGCAAATATCTTCTAAACATTTCCTTTCCTCAGAGTGAAAACAGTCCCGTAAACCTGACTTTCCCCTGTTCCCACTCCAGCCTACACAGGCGGAACAGACTGAAATAACTACTTAATTAGGATGCTGGTACTGGGAAGATTCAGGGTGTCAGAGTAGAAGGGAATGAATCCACAAATTACATTTACAATACCATTTAATAATTGGAGAAGCCTCTGTCTCGCTGAGCTGACGTAACTAGGCATCCACGTCTTCCTTTCGCTCAGACATGGATGGCCACGCTAGCCCCATGTTCTCTCTCAGCTCAGTCTGGCCCTAAGTGCCAGTCTTTCCTTACTCTCTTCAGAAGTGGCATTCTTACACCAGGTATCAATCCCATCTCTACACCTCAAATATTGTCTCAGTGACTTCAGACTCCAAGACAATCCACTGCAGTTGTTAGCAGTTCTCAATCACTGAACTGGTCTTACTGAACTCTAAATAGGATCCTCTAAAATCATGAAGCTCATTTTTCACTTTCATTCAGAGAAACACAATTTTTCTTTATGTTGATTCAAAGACACATTTATCTGGGTCCAGAAAGCCTTCCTGAATTTGTCTATCTGTCTTCCCACCAGACTAGGACTCTTCAGGGATGGCAATCTCCTTTTATTCCCTTTCATCTAGCGTAGTTTCTGAGTGTTGGCTGAATTAATGAATAAACAACCCTGAGTACTTACTTCCTAACCCTCATGAAAATGTCAATCCATATGAATTGAAATACCACAGTAAGGAAGCAAGATCTTGACAAAACAATGTTTAAGTAATGTTACTACAAAATCCTCTTAATGTTCAAGGTTATTACTTCATTGCAATCAAATTATGTATGAAGAAAAATTTTCTTCACCTAGGCATTGGAGTTGTCAAAAAACTTCCTTATACTAATGTTCTCATAGAATAAATAATTTATGATTAATTTTAAATAAAATGAGTCCTTTACCAAGGCCTGGATAGATGACCATATATATATATTTTTATTTTAGTATCATTAATCTATAATTACATAAGAAACATTATGTTTATTAGACTCCCCCCATCACCAAGTCCGTCCCACAAAACCCATTACACTCACTGTCCATCAGCGTAGTAAGATTCTGTAGAATCACTACTTGTCTTCTCTGTGTTGCACAGTCCTCCCCGTGCCGACCGCCCACATTACACATGATAATCGTAATGCCCCCTAACTTTTTCCCCCACCTTATACCTCCCTTCCCAGCCATCCTCCCGAGTCCCTTTCTGTTTGGTAACTATTAGTCCATTCTTGGGTTCTGTGTTTCTGCTGTTCTTTTGTTACGTCAGTTTTTTCTTTGTTCTTATACTCCTCATATGAGTGAAATCATTTGGTACTTGTCTTTCTCCACCTGGCTTATTTCACTGAGCATAATACCCTCTAGCTCCATCCATGTTGTTGCAAATGGTAGGATTTGTTTTCTTCTTATGGCTGAACAATATTTCATTGTGCATATGTACTACATCTTCTTTATCCATTCATCTACTGATGGACACTTAGGTTGCTTCCATTTCTTGGCTATTGTAAATAGTGCTGTGATAAACATAGGGGTTCATCTGTCTTTTTCAAACTTGGCTGCTGCATTCTTAGGGTAAATTCCTAGAAGTGGAATTCCTGGGTCAAATGGTATATCTATTTTTAGCTTTTTGAGGAACCTCCATACTGCTTTCCACAATGGTTGAA